CTCGGCCTCCCAAAGTGCTAGGATTACAGGTGTGAGCCACCACGCCTGGCAGTTTTATATTTTTTTTTAGTAGAGATGGGGTTTCACCATGCTGGCCAGGCTGGTCTCAAACTCCCAACCTCAGGCCATCCACCCACCTCAGCCTTCCAAAGTGCTGGGATGACAGGTATGAGGGTACCTGGCTGTTTCTTATTTGTATATTTATTTGTATATTTATTTTGAGACAGGGCCTCCCTCTGTTGCCCAGGCTGGAGTGCAGTGCCATGATCCCAGCTAACTGCAGCCTCTGCCTCCCAGGCTCAAGTGATCCTCCCATCAGCCTCCTGAGTAGCTGGGATTACAGGTGTGCACCACCACGCCTGGCTACTCTTATTTTTAGTAGAGATGGAGTTTCATCATGTTGGCCAGGCTGATCTTGAACTTATAAACTCAAGTGATCCACCTGCCTCAGCCTCCTAAAGTGCTGGGATTATAGGCATGAGTTACTGCGCCTGGCCCTAGCTAATTAGTTTTTGTAGAGAAAGGATCTCACTATGTTGCCCGTCTGGACTGGTCTCAAATCCTGGCTTTCGATGATGCTCCTGCCTTGGCTTCCCAAAGTGCTTGGACTGTGGGTGATGAGCCATCATGCCCGGCCCCGTTCTCACCCACAGTCGCAATTGGTGTCTCCTAGTCACCCATGTGGGCCCTGTGTTCTCCCGCTGCCTCCCACCCCGTCTGACTTCCCTTTGTTCCCCAGATGCCTGTGGCCTCTCGGACCCGGCCCACGTGGAGAGTCTGCAGGAGAAGGCACAGGTGGCCCTCACCGAGTACGTGCGGGCGCAGTACCCGTCCCAGCCCCAGCGCTTCGGGCGCCTGCTGCTGCGGCTCCCCGCCCTGCGCGCGGTCCCTGCCTCCCTCATCTCCCAGCTGTTCTTCATGCGCCTGGTGGGGAAGACGCCCATCGAGACGCTGATCAGAGACATGCTGCTGTCGGGGAGTACCTTCAACTGGCCCTACGGCTCGGGCCAGTGACCACGACGGGGCCACGTGCGCCGTGGCCAGGCCTGCAGACAGACCTCAAGGGACAGGGAACACTGAGGCCTCGAGGGGTCTCCCAGGGCCCAGGACCCTGGCTTCTCTCCTCAGACTTCTGTTTTGTAAAGACTGTGAAATGTTTGTCTTTTCTGTTTTTTAAATGATCATGAAACCAAAAAGAGACTGGTGATCCAGGTCTCAGCCTCGTCCTCCCAGGACCCCTGGCCCGGATGGAGCATGAACTTACGGGATGGTGGGGGCGGCTTCCCTGGTGTGATGGACAAAGGCCTGGCATCTGGACCGGAGGGGCCACTCCAGCGGGCAGGGGTAGCTAGCGTGTGCTAGGCCAGATCCTCTGGACGCGTAATCTACGTCAGACACTACATGATGACTCAATCAAAGCCAAGAATAAAGATATTTCCTACTTGTGTGGCCTCCCTGATCTTTATTTATTTATTTATTTTTTTGAGACGGAGTCATCCTCCACCTCCCAGGCTGGAGTGCAGTGGCGTGGTTTCGGCTCACTGCAACCTTCGCCTCACAGGTTCAAGCAATTCTCCTGCCTCAGCCTCCCCAGTAGCTGAAACTACAGGCACCCACCCCCACACCCGGCTAGGTTTTTTTGCATTTTTGGTAGAGATGAGGTTTCACCATGTTGACCACGTTGGTCTTGAACTCCTAACCTCAGGTGATCCGTCCCCCCTCAGCCTCGGAAAGTGCAGGGATTACAGGCGGGAGCCACCTTGCCTAGCCTCAATTATTTTCTTTGGTCAGCACTTAATCTTTTTTTTTTTTTGAGATGGAGTTTTGCTCTTTCACCTGAGCTGGAATGCAATGGTGCAATCTTGGCTCGCTGCAACCTCTACCTCCTGGGTTCAAGCGATTCTCCTGCCTCAGCCTCCTGAGTAGTTGGCATTACAGGTGCACACCACCACGCCCAGCTGATTTTTGTACTTTTCAGTAGAGATGGGGTTTTGCCATGTTGGCCAGGGTGGACTCGAACTCCTGACAGATGATCCACCTGCCTTGGCCTCCCAAAGTGTGATTATAGGCATGAGCCACTGCCCCAGCTCATGGTTTGGACTCCAGTGTCCTTGGGAGACACCTCTGGGGGCCAGTCCTGTCACATGATCTCAGCCCAGCCAATCAGAGCCCACCATTCCCTGGGCCACAGCGATTGGTTTATGATGGGCTTGGGATTCCAAACCAGCCAGTGAGATTCTACAGCAGGATTTGGAACTGGGAGGATCTAATTAAAGCAGAGCCAAGGATGGATGGTCTATTTCCCAAGATGCCTTTGGAGCCCGTGGATCAAACCATACCTGAAACCCTTGGGTGTTTTAAGTTCTATGAACTCAGACTTCCCCCTTTCATGCCTGAGTCAAACTGACGTCAGTTTTTTTTTTCTCACGTGGAACTAAAAATCTGTCTCAGGGCCTGGCATGGGTTGAGCACTGGAAGACCCTCCCCCCAGGCCAGGCATATGAACTGTGCCCACACAGTGCCTGGGGTCAGTTGCTGTCCTGAAGTGCCAGGGAGACATGGAGAATGGAGGAATCTGGCTGGTCGCAGTGGCTCATGCCTGTGATCCCAGTACTTGGGGAGGCAAGGCAGGAGGATCGCTTGAGCCCAGGAGTTTGAGACCAGAGACAGACCCCACCTCTACAAAAAACAAAATTAACCGGGTGTCGTGGTACATGTCTGTGGTCCCAGCTACTCAGGAGGCTGAAGTGGGAAGACTGCTTGAGTCTGAGAGGTGGAGGCTGCAGCAAGCCATGATCACGCCACCGCACTGCAGCCTGGGTGACAGAGTGAGACACGGTCGCAAACAAAAAAACAGCTGGGCGTGGTGGCTCACGCCTGTAATCCCAGCACTTTGAGAGGCTGAGGTGGGCGGATCACAATGTCAGGAGACCAGCCTGACCAACATGGAGAAACCCGTCTCTATTAAAATACAAAATTAGCCAGGTGTGGTGGCACATACCTGTAATCCCAGCTACTCGGGAGGCTGAGGCAGGAGAACTACTTGAACCTGGGAGGCAGACGTTGCGGTGAGCCGAGATTGTGCCACTGCACTCCAGCCTGGGCGACAAGAGCGAAACTCTGTCTCAGAATGAATAAATAAACAAACAATTTGTGTGTCACAAATGAGTGCAATCAGAAGTGGTAAGCAACTATACTCAGCAGGTGTCTAATACGTGTTTATTTCACCGAAATGGAGAGCAGGACCTACTTTCAGGAAACAGGTTGAGATCTGGAGTCCCTGTAGGGTCAGAGCTAGAGGTCCTAGAGGAGGAAGTCCTGGGAGGCCTGCCCGGAGGAGGGGCTGTCAAAGCTGAGTCCAAAATGAAGAGGCATTTGCAGTTTTGGAGAAGGCTACCCCTGGCAGGGGGAACTGCAAAAGGAATGGCTGAGAGATACCAAGAAAAGCCAGGGACCTGCATCCCCACGTGTCCCTCTGCCTGTCTGCAGGGGCACTCAGAAGTACACAGAGCCCTCGCTGTCTCCTCGGTCATCGAACTTCTGGATCTGGGTCTTGAGATGCCTCAGTTTACCCTTCAGGTAGTGGCAGCGAGCCTGCTTGTCCAGGAAGCCAGGGTCCTAGGCAGGGCGAAAACCCGAAGGCCTTGCAGCAGTCTGCCCTGCGGCCCTCCAGCTGCTCAAGCCTCTGCCTTTCATTCTCAGAACCTCAGTGTTTCTCCTTGAAACGGCACAGGCAGCCAGGTGAGTCGGGTGAGGTGGTTCTTGCCTGTAATCCCAGCAGTCTGGGAGGCCAAGGTGGGCGGATCCCTTGAGGCCAGGAGTTTGAGACCAGCCTGGCCAACATGGTGAAACCCTGTCTCTACTAAAAATATAAAAATTAGCCAGGTGTAGTGGTGGATGACTGTGATCCCAGCTACTCAGGAGGCTGAGGCAGAAGAATCACTTGAACCTGGGAGGCAGAGGTTGCAGTGAGCTGAGATCACGCCACTGCACTCCAGACAGAGCGAGACTCTGTCTTGAAAAAGAAACTGGCTGGGCGCAGTGGTTCATGTCTGTAATCCCAGCACTTTGGGAGGCCAAGGCAGGCGGATCATGAGGTCAGGAGATCAAGACCATCCTGGCCAACATGACGAAACCCAGTCTCTACTAAATACAAAAATTAGCCACTACAGGTGGTGGTTCGTACCTGTAGTCTCACCTACTCGGGAGGCTGAGGCAGGAGAGTCGCTTGAACCCAGGAGGTGAAGGTTGCAGTGAGCCGAGATTGTGCCACTGCACTCCAGCCTGGGCGATAGAGCGAGACTCTGTCTCGGAAAAAAACAAAACAAAAAACAAAAAACTGGGCCGCATGGGAGTGTCAGGGGATGCAAGACTCACCATTTGCTTCTTCTCAAACTCCCTCCAAACTCGGGCTGCAACTTGGGCCTCCTTCTGCAAGAGGAGGAGGAGAGAGGGGGTTTAAGGAGAGTTGAACTCAAGGGGGGATAAGGAAACTGAGGCTCAGACAGACTAAATGCCCATCTAGTGGGGACTTCAAGGGCAGACCTTAGCCATGTGTCACGGCACCCAGCCAGCCTAGAGGAGAAAGTCCTGGAGATCTGGACCCAGTGGGTATCCCAGAGGCTTAGGTCGGGCCACTCATAAGGGCTGCGGGGCAGGGCTTTCTCCCCAGCGCTGACCTGGCTTTGGGGTGGGGGCAGGGAGCTCAGCCGGGCCTCCAGCTGCCTGAGCTTTGCCTGTGCGCACCCCACCTCCCTCTGGAGCTCCAAGTACTCTCCGTACTGGTCCTGGAACACCGCGGCATATCGGCTCCGTTCCCTTGCACTGCTCACCGGTGGGTACTTACTAGTAGGTTAAAGGGGGTCAGAGTGTGAGTGTAACGAACCCCACCCTCTCCCAGTCAGTGTAATTGGCTTTTCTTTGTCCATGCTGAGTCCCCTACTAAAAATGTCCCTTTTCTCTCCCTCTTTTTATTTATTATTATTTTTTTGAGATGGAGTCTCAAAAATCCTAAAGTAGCTGGGATTACAGGCACGGGCGCGGTGGCTCACACCTGTAATCCCAGCACTTTGGGAGGCCGAGACGGGCGGATCACGAGGTCAAGAGATCGAGACCATCCTGGCCAACATAGTGAAACCCCGTTTCTACTAAAAAAAAATACAAAAATTAGCTGGGCATGGTGGCTCTCGCCTGTAGTCCCAGCTACTCGGGAGGCTGAGGCAGGAGAATTGCTTGAACCTGGGAGGCGGAGGTTGCAGTGAGCCGAGATTGCGCCACTGCACTCCAGTCTGGCGCCTGGTGAAAGAGCGAGACTCTGTCTAAAAAAAAAAAAAAAAAGTTTTTTTTTAAATTAATTAACATTAATTAATTTACAGAGACTGGATCTTGCTGTGTTGCCCAGGCTGGAGTGCAACGGCTTATTCACAGGGGTAATCCCACTACTGATCAGCAAGACATTCTTTTCTCTTTTTACTCTTTGCTAAACTTTCATTTTTTTTTTTTGTGACAGAGTTTTGCTCCTGTTGCCCAGTCTGGAGTGCAATGGCGAGATCTTGGCTCACCAAAACCTCCACCTCCTGGGTTCAAGCGATTCTCCTACCTCAGCCTACTGAGTAGCTGGGATTACAGGTTTGAGCCACTGTGTCCAGCTACTCTTTGGTAAACTCTTATTCAACTGTCAAAGCCCCAGCCTCAGTGTCCCCTCCTGATCCTAGGCATGAAGAATCACCTGGGGGACACTCACAGCTCATAGTCGGGCACTGGGTGGGGCCTAGGCGTATGCCCCTTTGGGATGACTCCAATAGGCTTCTTGGCGTCCAGGAGGGCCTGGGAGAGCAGCTCATCCTCAAACACAATCGTCTTCGGCCTTGCCTTGTGGGGTCTCGGCTGGGGCTGGCACGGAGGGCGGGGGGCGCTGGTTTTGAGGCCTCGAGGCGTCAGTCTCTGCAACTGCCACAGGAGTCGTGGTTTGGAGTTAAATCGGGGTGTCGGGAAACCGGAGTCCCTCAAACTGGGGGGACTAAATCTTTTGCCTAGAGGCATGGCCTCAGGACCCCGTCCTGGTCAGGCTCACCGGGGGCCCTGGCCCAGGCGGGTGGGTCTGCAGCAGGTGCCCCCGGGAGCCACGAGTCTTGGGGGGCTCCCGGCTGGGCATCGGTCTCTGGGAGACGCAGCTCAGGGGTTTCCGGGCTGATGGGCGAATCCTGCGGGGGGCGTCGTGGCCCGCGCGCGGCGGGGGTGGTCTGGGGGCGGCCTGCGGGTGGACACGTGGAAAGGACACGCCTGGCGACGCCGAGAAAGGAGGTGTGGGGAGGCGGGTCCGGGAGCTGCCAACCCTTACCCCGTCTATGGTTTTTGCATAGACGCACGCGATTGGTCCGTAACGACTTCCAGACCCCGCCCCCGACTGCGTAACACGGAAGAACGGTATGCAAAAGAGCCCTGA